TTGCTGTAGGATTGTGCGACCTCTCTGTAGAAGCACATAGGAAGAGCTCTGAGCCCTTGAACAAGGTTGGAGACCACCGCTAATTACCAGAGAGGAAGGCAGAGGGTTGGTTGAGACTGTTTGATAGAAACACAATGTAATGGAATAATCACATCCAACTACATGTTTCAAAAGAAAAAGATATTGAAACACTGACTGTTATCCTCGTGGTTTGGCTTTGCTGAGTGAGGTTGGAGGTGCTAAAGGAGAAGAAGAGATGAAGGGGTATCAGACAGCATTTGTTTAAACAAGATGGGCTGAGGGTGATAGAACAACCACTGAGCCAGAAAAGAGAAGACCCCCCTTTTTCTTAATCTGCTGTGATCCTCATGTCAATTGGTAAAGAGGGTGTGACCGATAGAATAGATTCCCAACTTAAAGGCTTTAGACCACCCCCCTTTAATTCTCCATCATTGTTGTCTTCTTGGAAAGGGCAGAAAAAAGTCAAACGTAAAAAAAGGGCAACCGAAAGATCTCTGCCATAAGTGTAACATGAAATTTAAGCTGCAAGAATCAGCCACCAGCATTAGCTGGTTAAGTATCAGCAGCAGAGAAGGGGTAATGAATGTAGAAGAGGAGACATCTGAAATGTCATTAATGTTAATTCTAATCACTTTTTGGCTATTAAGCACAAATTAGTGAAGGCGATGTTAAATGTCATGGTCTGTCCTGGGATTCGTATAAGAGAGGGCGGGGGGCACAGAATAGGTTCTCATTTACATACTTAAGATCCAACTTAATTCTCACAAGGGGTGATGGAAAATGAAGCCGAGCCTTAAACCAATGGCGATGACACGCAGGCTCGGCAAAAACACAAACGTTTTCTGGCGGCTGATTCTTCATTGTTCGCGCTCAAGGTCATTTTCATGAGCCTGTCGTCGAACGTCATTCCCTTGAATAATTCCGCTCAGGCTTTTCCTCCCCCTGGCTTTAAGGTTTGCGCTATTTAAGACCAATCATGTCAATGTGGAAAAGAATTAATCCTGCTTAAAAAAATATATTACATGACTAGAATGTATGTTAACATCCCCCTGATTCTGTCTCTGGATATAGACTTTAGTTTTGTGGAGCAGGAGATAGTTGAAGTAAATAACCACGCGGGCTTAGATATCAAGAGAAGTTCATTGTCAAGTTCACTTAGGTACTTACAAAGGCTTGTTTTCATGTAGGTGCTCTGTATCTGTCAAGCACTCAAATCCTGGAAGAAAATCAAGGCAGTGAACAATGCCGCATTTTAAAAGCGATCCAAGCTCAGGCCCCACAAAAACCATGTCATGTAATTCATTGCGATAGCTAGATTAACCTCAGTGCACCGCGGAGGCCTCTGCATTCTTGTCCACATTGTTCTAATGGCAGCCCACAGTCTTTGGGAATATCCTGTTGTTTTTTTATTTTTTTGCTCTTCTCTCTTTCTATCCTCTGTGGCTACAGTTGACTGTGGGAGAGTAAATAACATTTGATATGCATAAACAGCCCCTTCCTATTCATTACTGTCAGAGCGTTGGAGTGCAGGAGGCGGAGGTCAGCATGTGAAGGTCCTCCTGCAGGCAGGAGAAACGCCTGTGGTAGCTGTCACTCCTCTGCTCCCCACCACCACAACTCAACCCCCAGCCCTCCCTACCTACACCTCCTCCTCTATCCTCCTCTCTCTCCCCCTCCCTCACTCCCCTATTAGCACAGGCTCCAGGTCATAACCTTTCCGTGGCATTTTGCGATTCCACCACCCTTTGATTAGTGCAATATTTACATATTTCACAGTGGAGAGGGCGTTCTTGTGTCGCAGACACTTGAAGTGTTGTAAATGCGTTTGGCCTTTTGCCTGGGAAATGCGGAGGAGTCGGACTCTCTGGTGGTATCGGAAGTCAAGGCTGCCATGCTGATTTAAGCCGTAGTGTGTTTTAAGTATATTTACCCCTCCGTTGTCCGCAACGCAGCGGCTATTGTACACATACAAGTGCCATTTGGTCTGTGATGTGGCCCTCGTCTTCCTGAGGAAGGCCGTTTAGCGGCCATTAGAGAGTGATAGTGCTCCCTGGTGGCAGATATAGATCATGCCCTCTGACATAGACTCCACAAAGCAGCGTTTCAAAGGGTTACATGCAAAGAGGAACAGAGGAATCTTCCCCAGAGGGAGGACCGCTGTTCATTCTTAGATGCAGCGAGAACATGAGAGATACCAGAGCTACATGGCTCAGAAACAGGGTGAGGGGTATACACGGGTTAGAAACTGACTCTCAGTCATGTGTAGGGTTAGATAACTTGACTAATTGTTTGACATGATGGCTAAAGGTCTTTTGGTGAAGGTGTAGTATTTTACACGTAAACACTGTATCATTCCAGGAGAAACCACAGGATTCTGCCAAAGAAAGACATTTTCAAATCTCTGCATAAAGGAGACAACTGTAGAATCATTATTATTTGATTTGTTGATGATAAATGTCAGAGAAGATTTTTTTCAAGAGTAATTGTATTGTAATATGGGATGATTTTTGTAAACATACTGTAAGAGTAACACGTGGTGAAGGAGCACTTGTCTTGAAGGGCCACAAACCCTCTTTGAAAATGTCTCCTCTTAAGGAAATGCTTCAACATTTTCCAAAATGTTCTGAGACTGATCAAATGCTGTCTTTGTTTGGTTTGGCATAGAGACTGAGGATACCTCCTGGTAACTGCACCTTGCCTAGAAATAGTCACATAGACATCCACATCTTTTACACCTCACTTTTTATGAATTAAACAGACAAAATAAATTATGTTACTACTATATTTACTACAGATACAATGGTATTCGTCTTCTTAACTCAGCAAGAAAGCAAATAAACAAAAATGTCTAGAGTTGGCTTGAAACAAACTACTTTTATGTAATCATCCAATATGTCTAAAAACAGATTTACAGCAGTTCTGGTCTCTGTTCCGGCCAAACTCGAGGGCCGCATCATAGAAAGGTTTGAGACTTGATAATCATTCAAATGGGGATGACACATTTTTGGACAGTCTACACAAAGTTCTTGGCACACTTGTCAGAACAATATGAAAAATCTAAAAATATAGATGTGTGAGGAATGAAAAATGCACTCATTTAGCCTTTAGCATTCTGTGGAGGTCTAAATAATGTTGGAGCCTTTTCCCAAATGGTCAGAATATATTCTGAGTAAAGTGTTTTTGTCTTTTAAAGTTTGGGGCATCAGAAAGTTCACCAGTTACCATGAGTCAGACTAAATATATAATCCCATCCAATCTGAATGGGTCAACACAGATATATAATGCAAGCATGCATTTGAGAAGGTAAAAAAAGACCTTGTAGATTTTCTGTGCAATGGGAGAAAGGGAATGTGTTGACACCCCAGTTGTAACACCTCTATTAGAGCAAAGACTTCTTAGAAGAACAACTGCTCTCTTTTTTTTACAATGAAGTCGGAAAAGATAATAAAAAGCACATTATACTCTGTTCACCAACACACCTATCCATCAAATTCGAGTCAGCCTGACGTTCAGCGAATTTTCCACCTCAGTCAGTCATTCAGTCAGTCAGTCAGCCTCTCTCTGCTGTGTGACAGAAAGAAAAGATGTCAGCGAACAGGTTTTTCAGGGAGCTCAGGGCCGTCACGTCTGTCTCCGCGGTGACTGATGAGGTTGGGAAGAGTGACGGGCAGCTGCAGTCTTTTCTCAGCCTGCAGGCCTGCCTGGCATTAACGTTATGTGCCATGTTCTCAGAGGGAACCCGTCATTCAGCTGTCACTCAAACCGACAGACAGATGGTACACATAGACACCGAACATGAAAGAGACTGGCAAAGTAGCAACGAATCCCTAGGTGGTCCCCCGTAGTTGAAGGGCGAGGGTTTTCTCATCACCGTTGCTTGGCAGCTCGACTTCAACCGCGCGGCCACACATGGACATCAAGGTGCCAACGGGCCCGGACAGACATCAAAGTCTCTATCCATCAAATGTGTCACATGCTATGAAAGTGAACAGCTTGCGGTATGGCTTAGGTCTGATCTGTTTTCACCTCGTGTCCATGAATCATGACCACTTTCACTTTCTTCTGCAGGCAATGGAGATTATGTATGGAACCCCGTCGTAACCAGAAGGCACGATTAGACACACCCGGCTGTGTTTAGGAAGCATGTTAGTGTAGTAGAGTTTCAATCAACTAAGTGCATGCATGGGAAAAATATTATTTAAACCTGTTTTGTGTCTATGATGCCACCTGTTTGCACGCTTAGGTCCCGACCTTGCCTTCCAACGGACTTACAATGAATCCGACCCTGATTCCTGGGCAGGTCTGTTAGTTACACCAGCCAGTTATTTCATTTTTGTGTATTACAATCCTGTGAGGGCCACAGACAGAGTTTATTACTTCACTTTTTATCTTACAAGTGACCACACCTACCTTTTCATTCCTGCGGGGTACCAATATTTTGTCAAGATAGTGTTGTAAATCTTGTTTGTACGCAATACCGTGCAACCTTACTCTTGAGTGAGATCTGAATCTGATGAGTTTTAAAGCATCCAGTTCACCTGACCTGCATTTGTTTGGACTGTGTGACGTAACCAGAGCTCTCAGAGGTAAAACTCCACAGTTGACTTTGCAGTGGACCTCTCTGATGCAAGGGAAAGTGCCAACCATGTGGCAACAAAATCAGTTTATGACCAGACTTGGAAATAAGAGGAGTTTAGAGACTGATGGACCCAAATCAAGGTTTAGGGTTGATATACCAGTGCAGCTTTGGTGCACAGTACTTATCTGATTATGAGTGACCACAAAAGAATGAAAAATTAAATGAATTTTGAATACTGTCAATAATCACAGACAGCACACTGCATCTTTCTAGTGTGAGTCAAATGGAAAAATAAAATCTGAAAACTGTAACAGCTGCCCAAGGTTTTTCTTCTAAACCTGGACGTGTTCAGTCAAAGCGGCAAAACAAGCGAAACAAGATGAAAGGCTGTGACAACAGGTGGCATTTTCTGTGTCTTTATTGTGGACATGACATTACATCTTTTTGAAATGATGTACAAAAGTGTAACAGAACTGAGAATGGCTCAGACGAGGTAGAGCTTTCACATCGGCTTGCTGGCTTGAAAACAACACGTTATAAAACGACAGAAAAACAAAAACCCCAGAAAAATCAAATGAAAACAAACACTCCTGTCTGCCTCTGTCTTATCCTTTTTGAAGTGATAATAAATACAGATATCAACCAAATACATTTGGAATAATAATAATGTCTTCTAAGGTAAATTACTCATGAAGTTCATAGCAAATAAAAAAAGCAACAAGGACACAAATAATACAATTTAAGAGGCATGATAAAAAAAAAAAAAAAACAACCAAAAGAAAAAGAACAACACCTGCCAGTGCCTGGGAGGGCAGCCATGACTAGCTACTGAACAAATCCTACAGTTTAGCAAAGAGAAAGACTAAAAACACACTCTTACATCTTTGTGAAAAAATAAGCATTGCCTGATGCACCTAGCATTATCTTACTTCCCATGAGGAGACTTAGCGAAAAAGCTGTGCCGCACCGCCGTCACGGAACAAATCGTTCGCCATTAAAATCAACAGGAATCGTCCTAAAGCTTCTAGAACAGAAATGACGTTGCAGTGTGTTAGCCGGCACCATTAAAGAGACATTCTCAAAGAAACCTTGCAGCTAGAACTGGACAAAATGAGAACAGTTAAAGCAGTAACCTAGTCTAAGTGCACTAGTAATGCCATTTGGTTTCTACTGCTGTATATAAAGGGTTTGGTAAAAGTGGATTACAGATATACAGCTTATATTACATACACTCACTCCCACTTCATAGTTTTTCTAAGTCACACTTCGGAGTACAAACTCATAACTGAGGAGTTAATCTTAAAGGGAATTCTGTACATTGGTATTAGTAGTACACTACCACAAAGGTTAGAGTATCCTTTTCAAGTATTTTCACTACCCACACCTTCAATATACACACTGTATGTGTATTATTAGGCATAATCAAGCACACAATATTGTATGCATATCTAAACAACCCTCTGGTATAGCGACCATGCTATCATCCTGTAAAAACGTCTGAGGTCTCAAAATAGATGGGAAGTACAGTACTCTGTTTTCTCCGTATAGACTTCAACTGATGTGAATTTTGATTTTTACGTGTACAGAGAAAAAAAGGTCTCGGCACATCGACAGTTTTACTCTTGTTTTTTCGAGCCAAAGCTACTTTGAACTACCTTGCTTTTACTTCTTCTACTTCTTCTTTTCCCCCAGCGTGTCAATGCATGGCTTATTCAATCTCACAGACCGCTGAGGGGAGGAAAACTAAGCACAGGACACCAAAGAAAAGAACATTTCATCCTCGCAAAGAGCAGTTCTATACCTTTATAACCAGCCGACAGAAACCTAAAACAGGCTTTCATTGCAGAGGAGGTAGGCTGGTGCACAAAAGCATCTAGAGGGAGGCTGGCGTACACAGGAGCGAGTGAACCTCTTACACAGTATGGAGAGGTTTGAAAAGAACGCACCTACACATGCATTGATGCACTCTCACACACACACACCTGTGTTAAGGCTGTGATGGCGCTACAGTTTAATAGGCCTCTAAATGTGTCCAACTTGTGTATTTATCCCTGAACTCTGTGGAAGCCTGACCTCCTGACCTATGGCTGCTCTCTCTCTCTTTCTTTCTCTCTCTCTCTGACCTATTTCTTTCTTTCTTTCTAAAATGCAAATCATCTCATCTCAACTCAGGAATGAGGGCCTTGTCTACACTACTGCAGCTATCTTTATGGATATTTTCCCATACACATGACCCTTGTTTTACAAAATATCTCCATCCAGACGAGAAAACAGAAACGATTGAAACACTCAAACAAGCATGCCAGGTCAGTAGGTGGCAAAAAAGGCTATATCAACAACCTGCCAAATACCAGAGAAGATTTTCCAAAAATATCCGCATTAGTATGGACAAAGAGTAAGACTTGTGGCATCTGCTTAAATGATTTAGTGACAAACTCAGCTCTGAATTACTGGTTATTTGTTATGTCAGATGTGCTCGCTAATATACATGTACATGTTGTACGATATGAATGTGACGGTTTTAAAGTAATAGATGGACAGTTTGGTAAACATCCGCATTTCAGTATGAGCTAAGTCCCTAAAGTGCCAAATGGTGAAATTTTGCGCACACAACATTATTAACTAAAAATTCAGATGTATATTCATTTACGATACACACAGCAACCATGATGCAGAGAACTCAGCTAATCAAGTTTTATTTAGAATTTTATTTTTATTTTAAACTGTCCAAATTAAGCAAATAAAGCTGCAATGTTTCAAAATGAAAAAGACAAGTGATAAAAGCAGTTTACCTTTCTGGTTAAAGCATAAGCAATTAATGTCTTTACTGTGCAGATATTAACTTGAAAAATATCAGCAGTCTGGGGCTCCGTAGGGTTCCCTATCTTCAATTGGGTCATTTGAAAATGTTATTAGATATTTTACAATTTCAAAAAAAAGGGAAAAGAAATTTCTGACTAAATAAAACAATTTTTGTAGAAAATGTTAAGGGTCTATCTTTTGACCCCTTCGGATTACAATGCAACCCTGTTACGGGACCCAAGAGTGCTTTCTAACAAAAAGACTAACAAGATTTTGGTACCAAAGATTAGGGCTGGACAAGCCAAAAGGTGAGAGTTGCCCTTTAGTGATGGGAAATATCAAGATGCATCTTTTCGAACTAACGTTAGCAGTACCTTGTTGTCCTTTGCATCTACTGTAGACAAGCTGGAGCTTGATCTGTCCGAGTTCCTGCCACTCCCTCTGTTCTGTCTAGTTCAAAGTCAGACGTGTCGGTGAGGGAAACACTCCTCAATATGATGGAGTTATGGAGGAAAACTGCCTCCTCTCAGTTCCTTCCTCTTAAATGGACAATAATTGAATGACCATAAAAGTGGTACGCTCTTTTATATTGGCTATTAAAAACGCACACTCTTTTTAATGAGCACTAAAGCAGACACCCCCATTAGCGTTCTCTCTCTCTGTCTGTAATCCTACCTCTCTTCAACACAGTCTCCCTCTCTCTAATCATCAGCTGTGCAGCCTCAGAGTGGTCACTGCATTCTGGAGTGGAAGGAAGTGAGTTAAACACGCACACACACGCACGCACACACACACACACACACACACACACACACACACACACACACACACACACACAGACAAAGAAATCTCCATCTTCATGACTTAGAGCCCAGAGGAGACGCACTCGCAATGTGTCAGTTGACTGTTGATGAAGGGTAAAGCATCCTCTCCTCTCTCGTGTCATCTCCTGGGTTATTGGTGTCCTGAGGAACGCACAAACTCATTCAGCAACGCTAGAAAATAATGTGGGAAGGGGTCGACTACAGCAGCCATGCAATGCCTCAGTCCTCTATTAAAATGCAGATGCATCTTTTCTTCTTTTCACAAATATGTTTGCCTCTTGCCGAGCTGCAGTAAGCAGGTGGTGGTGCCTCCAAAATGGCAGCAAGAGGTAATGATTTCAGTTCTGAGGACCTCTTTGTTCGGACATCCTTTTACGTTCATGTAACTAAACACAACTTTCCTTATTTTGCCAAACTTCACACTAAAAAGAGCAAACGTTGGCGAGTTCCTTTCTGTGAATTCTTTCTTCCTTCTGTGGCCCAATTTTCTGCTTTTACAACTGCCTAGCACAGCTTTAACTAGCTTCTTAACAAAAAGAAAAGTATTTAAAAAAAAATCACGAGAAACTTCATTGTATACATTTCTTCTCTGGCCATTTGAGGATAATCAGTGGAGAGAAGAGGCTCAAAAAGTCAATCATGTGTCTTGGGTCCTATTTGCAGATTTCTATGAGTGGTGGCTGTGTTTTGAAGTTGTTTGATTCCCTGACTAAGCTGGCCCCCACAACCAGATCACAGTACGTCCAGAGGAGATTGTTATTGTTGTTGTTGTGGCGTTGGTGGGCGTTTGGCAGCCAGCGCTCCTCGTTCCTCCTGGCTCAGTGGCAAGCTCCGTGTGTCTGGGTACAGGCTGTTGTCAAAAGGCATATGGTGGACACTCTGGACGTGCGTCTTTAGGTTCCCTTTCTGAGAGGCTCGGTATGGGCAGAGCTGGCAGCAGAATGGCCTCTCCCCTGAGGAACACACACAAACACACACATAGACACACAGTTGATAGGTCAGGTACAGAGGCCCCAGGGGACGTTATAGATGAATACAACAGAATAAGACGTAAACCGCAGATAAGACTTGCTGCAGTGGAAACAACACACAAGCAAACACAGACAAACATAAAACCAAGACACATGATGGTATTCAGCAGAAAAAAAGGGAAACATTATGCAGGTTAAGAGCAGCGTTCACTTTTCTTTTTTACACCTATTCCTCTTAAAAAATAAAAGCCCTGCCATTTTCTCCTGACCTAAATTGGTTAACTCTTCCTTTCTGTTTGTGCCACACTCCTGCTGTCTGTACAGTCCTACTTTTCTCTCTATGCTTTTCTCTCAATCACCCACACCTACCCTCCACCACACACACACACACACACTATGCCCTCTTTTCTAATTAGACTGACCTACAATGGCACAGACACCTCAGCGAGAAAAAAAAGAAGAAAATAATAATAATAAAGTAAGCAACAAGCACCTGAACAAAACAAATGAGATTGCCATTTAATTGCACCTAATTATCATTTTGATAAATGGAGGAATATCAGAGCGGGAAAACAAATGACTCCCCTTGCCCCCTCCCACACCCCTCTCCCCAAAGAAGAAACACGGGAAATATAGCTGTTATCATACATCATCAGTAACACAACAGAGAGGAAGAAGAGGAGGGGGTGAGAGCGAGAGATAAAAAACAAAAAAAGATATAATTAATCACACAAAAATCAAAAAAAAGAAAGAAACAGCTGGAAAGACGGTGAGGTTGAGACATGAGAGGAAAGCGAGCACCTCCACGACACCGTCCTGCGAGAAAAACATCGCTGACGGGACCGGTGCACTACATTATACTAAAGGTTATCGTCACCGTAAAGCAGCGTCAACACTACATCTAATTGGACCCCTCTGCCTCGCCTGCTCCCATCATTCATAGCGTGCGGTAAATCTGAGACCACGCGGGTGTGTGGGTGTGTGTCTGTGTGTGATGGGTTTGATTAATTAAGATGGAGGCGCAGCGTGTATAGAACCCAGCTCGCTGCGAATGTCAAATCAGAACAGATATACTCCTGTGTTCCCTCTGCCTCTATGCACGTCACTGACTCTGAAAACTCTTAAAGGCATTAACGGAACTGAGAAAGGTGTTAAATTTGTTAGATATTGAATAATATAATAAGATGTTTACTATAAAACAACATAAAGAAAAGGATGAGCTGAAACCAACAGATATTTATTAAACTGTTACTTTTATATTGAAATACCTACCAATTAGTGACTGATCATTTTTAGCTCTAGTCCCTGTTCAAAGTTGTGATGTTTTTGAACTGCACCTCCCACAAGTCTCTTATTTTTGTTGAGGAAGTTTGAGTTCTGATAGCAGGATGTTAAACCATACTGTACATGTAACCTCTACATGCAGATGTTTCCATCTGAAACACTCTTTTTCAGAACATTATACTAGTAGTACATCTGTGTTGTGCTGTGTGTATTTGGAATATCTCTAGGAGCAGATAAGCTGTGATGTATGTGCAAATATGATGGATCTGTACTATTGGACACTGCACTGGTTTGATTGATTTGCATTTTAGAGGGTTTTCATAAACCGGTTTTATGAGGTGTTAATGAAACTAATATATAATCAAGCCCAGCTAATTTATATCATGAAGAAACAAATAGCATGTTTGTTGTAAGGTTTAAGATTTCGAGGGAAGCTTTACAAATGCCAAGTTGCCTTTTCTCAGTTAATATAAGAACCATTAACCCTGTCTAATTAAAATATGAAAGCCACGGAATGTGCACTGGATACACATGCTGATGTCAGGTGTTAAAATGACAGGTGTTAATGCCGGGTGCCACATGTGAACATTACACATGAATAAGAAAAAAGAAAAGAAAAACAGAAAGATGGGAAGTGCAAGACTGACACTGACACGCACATGCGGAGGTGAGGCAGTAAAAAAGAAAATATAATAATGATAAGAAACATGCAGAAGCGATGAGTGTGGGTGGGGAGCCCAGTGATTAGCCATCGTGCCACATACTTGTTTGGGAGCTTCAGAAGCGGTGGTGTGAGCGTCAGTACCTCTGTGGAGTCCGTTAAAATCAAACCCAACTGTGGGGGGAGAAGGAGGGCAGGTGGGGGAGGGAGGGAGGGAGGGAGGGAGGGGGAGGAAGGGGAGGAAGGGGAGGAGGGCATTTGGTTAAAAGCTCTACCACATAAGAAAATGTTTCTTTCTGTTTCTCTCTGTCTCTCTCTCTCTCTCTCTTCCACCACCATCGGCATGCAGTAAGGTTTGCCACCAGCACCCTCGCTAATGGAGGGGAACTGGCAGTGATGATGATGATGATGATGGTGGTGATGATGATGATGGAACCTGGTGGAGGCAAGTCAGTGATTTAATATGACACATGTTAATGGAGGCCTCGGGGTGGCTGGCCTTTTTCTGCGTGTGCACGTCCATGCTGAAGACAACCGCTGGTGACAACATTAATTACAGCCTCGGCAAGTGTTTACAGAGCCTATGCATGGGCGCGCGTGTGTGTGTGTGTGTGTGTGTGTTTACAGTAGAGCTTGGGGGGGGGGGCTGAACACTGCATCACTTACCATTTGGCCTCTGTCACTTAGAATCACTGGCGGTGCCACATATCATTCACACTCTCTATAAAGAAGCTACTTAACTCACTGTCTACTGTGATCACCGCCAACTCGGCTGATGGACATGACAGGAGAGGAGGGGAGGGGGGAAAGGAGAGAAGAGGGGGAGTAAAAGTGGAGGAAAGAAGAGCAAAGGAAACGAAAATGATCGGGAAAAGTTCAATGGGAGGAAAAATAGAGGACGAGGAAGAATAGAGAAAGAGATGAAAAAATAAAGCAAAGTAAATACGAAGAGAGAAGAAACAAGATGAAAGTGAGGAAGGTAATGAAAGAGAGCGTGTGGGTAAAGGAAATCTGATGGGAAAGTACAGGAGAAAAGGTGAGATGAGAGGAAAGAATAAAGGAAAGGAAACGAAAGGAATGGAAAGGAAAAGAGGAAATAAAAAAGTAGAGGGGGAAGGATAAAGTAGAGGAAAAGGTGGGACGTCTAAATCAAGTGAAAGACATCGGGATGCAAATGGATTCATGAGGCTGGCGTGGACAAATACTGTTCTGCTTCATTAGAATGCACAATTCCATCTCTCTAATTGACATGTGATTAATAATGTATACAATTTGTCACAGGTCAGTATCCGGAGCAAATCATGTTTCAGTTTAAAAAATAGAGACAGCTGCCCAGCCCAGGGCGGGGACGGACTCACAGACTGGCTGTCACACTCAACTGAACAAAAAGATCTGTTTTGATTTATTTTGGCGAATGCAGGAGCACAGTCGACGTATGGAGAGTCAGACGATGAAATATCGTCCAGGATGTGAATCTCCATGCATATATTCTCCACATCTCATGTGAGTGTTTCTGGGTGGATAAATAGCCGTGCGGGCGATGATGTGTGTACACGGGTGGCGAGGGAATGAGTGACTGTTGAAGGAGTGGCAAAAAAATGGGAACATTGAGTAATACATGAATAACAAGTGGCTAATGAGGTTGTTCTACAGGTTTAAGACCTCTCTTACCCACAGCACAGTACACTGAAGCTGTCAGCCGTGCTGCTCTTTGCAGAGGTCATTTGTCTATGTTATAAAACACTCTCAGTGACGGATGTACTTGCAAAAACTTCTTTAACTTCTACTGCGAATGACTTTAAAAAACTCGACTGACTGATCTATTTAATCCCTATGTTCTCTTTTGGGGTCCTGGAAAGCCAGCGCCATCTTCAATAGCTCAAAACTTGTATTAATTTTAGAATTAGTATAGTTTTTACACTTAGAGTAGATAAGTCGTGCAACTTCTAACTTCAAGTAAAGCAAGAGATGTTTTGGAGTTGACCTGGAGTTAACAGCCAAAACATGAGTGGCTTTCGGACAATGTCCGGACAATGGCAAACTCAGAGTTTCTCTTTGAACAACGCAGCAGGAGATTTTCTGGTCAGATACGTTCACAGAAATCTCTGGAGAGGTTTGGTCAGGGTTGGCGCAGCATGCAGGAGGCAGGACGTAATGAATCTCTGCAGCTGAGGTCACGCATTTTTATTTACAGCACTTTGCCACTGGCATCAGCCCTCATCACCAAAAGCTCTCTTGACATCTTCCTCTGTGTCTTCTACATATGTGGCAGTGCTTTTCATCCTGAGATATGTGTATTCTTTTTTTTTTTTCAGTTTTCCATCCTCTAAGTGTGTGTCTTCATGTTGGCTGTATTTTACCTGTATGGGATCTCATGTGCGTGCGCAGGTGGCTCGGCTGACTGAAGCTCTTCCCACACTCGTTGCAGATATACTGCCCCTGTCGCATGAGAGACCTCAGCATCCCTGATCACACAGACACAAAAAGAGAGGAACATACATTTAAAAAATATAAACAACACCAAAACATCATTTCAACTGTTAAAAACATGTGTAAGATGTAAATACATGAATGGAAGGTACGTTAAGCAGATTCAGCTGTGTTTGAGGAGGGTTGTAGAAGAGATAGAACATGGATTGTGACTTTTAGGATGCAGGTGAGTTAGAAACACCTTCTATCTACTATCAACAGAAAACATTTTGCCAAATGTTCACGAAGAAAGGTGAACTGAAAGTCAGAGTCTCCAATTAACCTAATCTGCATGTCTCTAGACTGTGGGAGGAAGCTGGAGTACCTGGAGAAAACATGCAAACTCCACACAGACCCCAGCTGAGTTCCATTCATAGATCAAATGCAAAAGTAGAAATTTAAACCACATGACAGATAAGAAAGGTTTTGAATGTGTATTTTGAATACACAGGCCAATCACATGTGTTTTGCATGTCCATGTGAGATTTCTCATGTCAAATTTTATTTCATGAAGACTTGTGGAAAATGTGGACATCATGATCAGTTGATTCCAAATCAGGGGATGGTTTTGCGTGGCAATGTTTGCGGAGATTGAATGGAGACATAAAGGTCAGTAATGGGCGAAAAGTGAGTGGGTGTACATGAGCACAGAGTCTGGCTGGAGCAGTGGAGGTAGGTAGCGTCAGTAGTGGACCCGCGCGAGCATCATTAGTATGTCTAATGTGTCATTATGAGCGGCTAGCTCCAGGGGCTGGACTGCAGCTGTCACACAGCATCATCTCAGCGGCTGACAGCCAGACGCACACACACACTCTGCATAAATTACAGGCAATTAAAACGCCCCGGCTGTGATGTGCCCGCTCCGCTGCCCGTGTGTCACATGTCAGGTGTGTGTCCGCATGTGTATGCATTTCAAGAGTTATATATATATATATATATGTGTGTGTGTGTTTGCTTGGGTCGCGGCACAAACTGGCTACGTTTGTACTCACACACGTGCACAGGGTGATGCAGTAACACATGCATTACATGCACAAGTCACCTTTACAAAGTATATGTCATAAAAAGAAGAAACTTGTTGAATTTTGATGACTTCAAAGCTCATATATCCCATCACATGACTTGACTTAATGCAAAACCAAGATTATTTGTCTTTCATAAATGTTTGGGTAACATCACAAAAGTCAAGAGAAATCATTCTTTGACCTCCTTAAGTTACAGTTGCACATTGTTCGATGAAGAGCCTGACAGGAATACTCGCAGGTAAATAGATTCAATTACAAACCATTTTAAAGATGTTTACAAGTATTAACTTTAAGTGCAGTTAAAAAACCAAAAGGAAACCCTGGAAAATGGTATTTCTGAAACTATAATGAGGCTGTATATTAAAAATACAAGAAATTAATTGGGATATGAACCTGTGTGTGGTAAAGCAGACAAAATGCACACTGACTCTAAAAGAGCGGCCACTCAGCATAAAGGAACCTCTTGTTGGATCTGGAATGACTGTAATTCAGGCATTTACATTTTTATTTGTTGGTTATATATTTAATAAGGACCTGGAGTGTATGCACTGACATAGAAAAATCATTGAAAGATCGTTGGATCCATTTGATGAACTTGTGACCTCACACACTCACACGCACTCCTGTGACCTCTCTTGCTGAAAGATAACAGACCTGAGGGTGTGGGGGGGTTTGTTTTACTGCTCAAACTCCCCCACAACACACATCAGTGCCCCAAGCATTAAAGCTGGCATATACCTGGGCAGTGCCCTGCCCACTAGTTGTGTGTTTTTTGTGTGTGTACGTGGAAAGCGGTGAGTGTTGGAGGGACGCAGCACGACAAGGAGGACAGGGAGGCGGAGGAGGTGACAGAGAGTGTCTCTGGCAGCCCGACTGCTGGCCTCTGGATACTCTACTTCTACTCTGAGGCCGCCAGCCCTTCTCACTGATGCACTAATGAAAGACAAGACAGAGCTGGACGGAAAAACACAAGCAGACACACACACTGGTACGAATATTAGCGAGAGAGAAGGGAGAAAGACTCAGTTGCTCAAAAAAGGTCACTTTATAGCATGTGACTCAAAGGGCTAAGGCGAATGGTGACGATATGTGCCTGGACGGGTGACAGCGATGTCATGCGTCCGCTCTGGGGCTGTTGTCTTTGACCCCTGGCTCCGCACAGCCCCACTTGACCTTAGAGACACAACCGAAAATGGGCAAATAATTCGGATGTTGGGTAATGACCATTTCCAAAGCAGCTGGTGGGGTAATTATTCTGTCTCATCTCTCTCTTTGCCTCTTATGTTCCCTCTCTCTGTGTTTTGCCCCCCCCCCCCCTCTCCACTCGCATCTGTGCGAGCCTCTCGTCAGGCAGAGCCGTGACCTAAACAGTTTGTGACAGCTTTCTGGGAGAGTGGAGCTGGAGACTAGGCATGCCTCGCAGACCTGAGAGTAGCAAAGGTTCTCTCACGTCTTTCACGGTATGAAAAAACCCACACATCCACATCCACACACTTTTGCATCTAAAAACCTGAGCACATACAGACACACGTGCACAGACGCACATGCTGCCCTAGATTCTTTTATCATACTAAGCAAACGCGTGTGTGCTAATTTAATGTATCTCTCCATCATTATTATTCACAACCTTGTCAGAGTGGAGCAGTATGTGTGTCTGTCAAGATGAGTGAGTGAGTGTGTTAGGGAGGATAAATACGTATCTGATTGAATAAGGCTCGTACATTGAGTGTGGATCTGTGTGTGTCTTTTCCTGGTTTACCATGTCAAGTCCAGTCAAGTCTACTCATCGCAGCTAAATAACAAGATGCTCAGTGGCTGGAAAACATTTTCCTTCAACTCATGACATTTGGCATTTTCACCAAGGCCAAGACTCTCTGGGCATATTGTGTGTGAGCTGATGATGAGGCATGAAGAGGACTCTGCCAAGTTATGGCATTTCAAAGTAACAAAAGCCACATTTTTGCATTGTGATACTACAAACTTTCACATTTGTACATGTACATCGGCAGAAAAAAGACCCAAAAAATGGCTCCTTACCAGTGGGATCCATCAGGGCGTTGGCTGCACCCCAGCGGTGGTATAAAGTGGCCAGATCTTGGGGGCTGTAGTTTTTGAGGAAGCTGAGGACGTCATTTGGCATCTCCGGCGTCTCAGCGATTGGCTCCTGTTTCACATCTCCACGAGACTCCAAAGGCAATGAAGTAGAAGTAGAGGAGGGGGCGGAATTATGCAGAGTGCCTCTGTGTGCCTGGGGGGCTCCATAGTTGTGTCCCGCTGAGGAGCTATGGGTGATGGTGCTGGGCCTTGTGGCGTTAGCCCGGGCCTGGCTGTGGGAGTTATAAAGTGGCTGATGAGGGGAGCCCCTAGCGCGGCTGTACTCGGCAAGGCCATGTTTGCTGGACAGCATGAAGCCGAGGCCCTCTTGAGGCATTAAGTAGTGGTCGGCCATCCTGGAAACTGAGGCAGAGCTGGGGCTCGGTGCTGAGGAATGTGAGAGGGCGCTGCTGCTCTTCTCTTTGGAGCCTGAGGATGACAGCGAACTCCCCCTTGGGTAAATATCCACTTTGGGTCTGATGCGAGACGGATTACTCTGGTCCTCAGTGTGCCTGATGCTGCTGCTGGCACTGCCGCCTGGCCGCACAGGGACTCTCCCTGCATGGGTGCCCGAGGACGACGAGGAACCCCTGGAGAACGACGAGGAGGGGGTAGAGGATGATGACGATGATGATGATGATGATGATGGCGTGGCTGCGTGACTTGCTGGCTTGTTCTTCTTCAGCACCTCACTAGAGTAGGTTGGGGGCTGGGTGCGTTGGGTGCGGATCAGTGGAGGCAGTGGTGGACACTCTTTACCCTCCAAGACTGGCGGGGGACCGGTGCGTCTCCTGGAGGATAGCGAGCCCTCCCTGGAGCCCTTTGAGTTATTCTTAAAGGCCCATTTAGGAGCCAGATTGGAGCTACTGCTGTTGATGCGGTGAGCCACAGTCTGGTGCATCCAGAGCACCTCAGGATAGCGGGTGGAGTGGGAGCAGAAGGAGCACTTGTGGCTAGGGAGGCTCTTCCTGTCCAAGGTGAGGGAGGCTATCCCCCTCATGCCTTCAGCCCTCACACACAGATCCACAGGGGTCATGCTGGGGTCGAGCGGGGACGATCGAGCAGAGAGGTAAGCCGAAGGGGATGCTGACTTTTTCAGCCCCTGGAGAAGAGCTTTCTTCAGCTTGGGATAACCGCTGGGTGTGCCTCTGTCCGAGCTGGAGCTGGGGCTGGGGCTGGGGCTGGGTCTGTCTTCAGGGGCGGGCGGGTGTTTGACACGAACATGAGTCAGATAAGCCTGCGACTCGGAGGTAACAAAGTCACACAGGCTGCAGATGTAAGGCTTCTCATCTGTAGGGGAGAGATGTGACAATATAAAGGTCAATGACAGCAAAATAAATAGTCCAGATTATACTTTTTTATACTATTTCATCTGTACATATTGGAACATTGTGTTGTTTTGGTGAACAGCCACCAGGGTGCAGTATTGGCTGCTGTTCTCATATACCATCTTTTCATTTTACATGTGAACACAACCTTCTCTGCCATAACCAGAATGATTGCATCTGCTATTGTAAGAGAACTAAACAAATACTAAAATGATTTAAATAGACGACAAAATATACATCACATGATAGTTCAGATAATAGTTCTTACAATTAGTTTTTCAACTAGGTTTTTAAAAACTGAGGTGGATCTGGCTGAGGGATAGAGCGGTTGCCCCTTATAGAAAAGAAAGAGCTGCTAATAGATGCACTGTATGAATGTGTGGGTGAATGGGTGAATTGCAAACTTTACTGTAAAGAGCTTTGAGTGGTAATCAAGACGAGAAAAGTGCTATATAAATACAGACCATTTACCATTTAATATATTCAGCATGTGTCAGAGCAGTGTTGAGTCATCTCTATGGTAACTGTTGGGATGTAAAATGTTCTAGATGCTGTGAAACTATCTCAAATATAAAATACAACATTAACATAGAGGCTATTAAGGCTAACAAACGTAGATTGGTTATCGTATGGCTATGTGTATGTAGTGGCATTGCTTTGGATTCTACATGTGTTTACTAAATTGAGCCCATGCTGCTGATTCCTGCTGTGTACCTTTACAAACTCTCCACAAGGGGGCGTATATGTCCCGTTTGTCACTGGAAAAGTTTAGGTCTAATTATAGAGGGGGACATTAATATGAATAAGAACAAAATTACAGTTACAATGAAATACAAAATAAATTATTGTATAATAAGAAATCATCCGATTGGATTGTTTGAACATGTTCAACAAATGTTCCAGGTCATGGAACCCTACACACATGAATATTTTACAGTCTCCTACAAAAGAACATATCACATACTGTAAGTAGGCCATTATTATCATCTCCACCACCCCTCCTCGGTTTTACAACAACACCAGTAAACTGCCATCTGCTTTTCATTTGGCTTCCTGTTGGCAACTCTGGCCAACACTCACAGCTCAGACTGTGCCAAGGTGAAGCCCCAGGACTGGGCAGTTTAGCAGGCGGGGGTGTAACACTGATGTGGCCTGTTTTTAAAGCCCATACTGTTCTTATGATAATCAATCAACCAAGAGCATGATTGCATATGTGTTGTAGAAATATCAGTGCAAATCTGAATCAGTCTGACAGATACACGCACACATAGAACACACGCACTAACACACACCCTGCTCAGCAGTATGTGTACTCTGACACTGCAATAACTTAGAGGAGGAGGAAGCCACATATGTTTTTATAAACATACAAAGGATCCATCTAAAGTATCCATGAAAATGCTGCCTCCTAATTTCGCACTTGTATAGAGCTGGTCAGAATAACGCTCAGGAGTCAGCTCTCATCAGGAGAGACACTGACCTGAAAAACGTCCACAGCTTTACAGTAGGGAGAGTGAATGGTGCAAATATATCTCAATTTATCTCTAATTCTTTCATGTAAATAATCCACTATGTTTGCACAGGGATAATAATTAATGTCTTTCATCAGTCTACTGTATGACTAATATAACTGAGAAGTCAAAGAACCTTTGTGCATGTTGGTGTCTGCATATATACACTCGCACTTCTCATTTGCATTCCCCAAATGTAGCAAAATGGCTGAAAGGGACGACAGAGTATTTGGGACTAGATTGTCCTCTGAGTGTCTCTTTCTCCATTGCCCTTATCCCTCTCCATCGAGAGGAGACTATAAATAACCAATCCCTCAGACATCAGGCAGCCTGGCTGGCTCAATGGTAAGAGGAGTGGATGAGTGACAGTGGAGGTGTCACAGGAGGTAACCTTAGAGATTAGAGAAGAAGTCAGAGGGGATGGGGAAGACAGGTAAAGAGAATAAGGACGTACAAATCGACAGAGGCCGTTAGATCTTGACAAGAATGTTCTTTGGGTAAAGGCACATATATCTTCAGAAAGGATGACTTTGACACAAATATTAATTAGAATGACACTCAGCAGAGTGATTTTTTAATCTAGATCCATGAATTATTCTTTGAGAAATAAAGGAAATGTTTAAAATCGCCCTTTATTGCAATATTAAGGAAAGTTCCAGGATCTGCTCCCTGATCCGGAGCCACTCTAAAATTTCATGTGTTGTTTTTTGGGTCATGTCCCACTTCTCCATAAAATGTCATTAAATTTGGTCAAGCATTTTTTGCATATTCCAGCTAACTAAAAAAATGAATTAGATGGAACTATAGAACCCAAGGCCCAACAGTCCCCATAAATCCAATCAAGCTGCACCAAATTACACAAACTATAAATATCAGTCCCCTAAATATGTCTGATTTTCATCACGATCCATGATTCATTTCAGAGAAACCAAAGAAAACATTGTAATGTTAAAGAAAGTGAAAAAAAAATCCTTGATCTGCCCTCTGATCCAGATCTGCACCGAAATAAAATGGGTACTTCCCTAACCCATTCTGTATCCTTCCACCAAGATTCCTGGTAATGCATCAAGTTGTTTTGTTTGGTTTAAAAACCAAATGCAGATTAGGTCTGATTGGATACTGTACATTTAGATACAGCTGAATTTAAGAGCCCTAAAATGTAATTCCTGCAACTACACAGCAGGATGTCACTGTTTTTGGCGAGACAATACATTTACTCATAAAAGAAGCTGTAACCACACCTTTTAACTGCTGGAGTTCAGGACTCGTATGTTTCTATTTAAATCAAATAATCTTATATTGTACGATACAAAACATCAGTGAAGAGTAAAAGGAAACATGCAGACAGATTTCCATGGCAAAGACAGAAAAAAGAACATATTCACATGAGATAAGGGGGTGAGGGGAGTTTCCTGAGACAGGAAGACCTGAAATAGCACGCAGCTCGATCAGGCCTGAAGAAATGTTGCTGCTATTTTTGAAAGTCTGCACTTACACAGAGGAATGGAAACAATCACTAGAAATCTGAGCTATCCACTGCACTGTCCTAACCTGGAAAAACAGTGTTTTCAGTGTGTTTGAAAGCTAAAAGACAAAAGCCAGAGATCTCAAGTCCTGCACACACAGGAATCCTCCCTTTAGCATATTTCAACCCTGAGTGATTATGGGTGTTTTGCTCGTCCATGGGAAGGTTTTCTCTTTTTTTTAGGTCTGCAGTGTTTATTGGTTGTGGAGGTGAAAAAATGATAGGCATTCCAAAAATGCCCTCTGCTGTACTGACATGCCATAGAAGAGCAAAAAAAAGTTTGACCTCATTGTTCTTGCTCTGTCAAACAAGATAATTATAGTGTTGTAAACAGAATTTTCAGAAGCAGTTAACGGTTATTGACCATATTATATAATTTGTTATGTGCAACTTTGTAGGTGAAGTAAGATGATGTAATTTCTTTATTTTCCCACATGGTGGCTCTAGTTCCCACTCCATGGGGCGGATGAGCTGAGGAGCTGCACCTACACAAAGGACATTTCATCAACAGATGTTTACTACAGAGTGACAGACAGAGCCAGAGGCCTCGAGTGGGAGGCTTGAAAAGAGCTACATTCATTTCTGCAACAAAAACCTCCTGCAGACTTTACTTATGCTTATGGGTTTTCATTTACATTTAGGCAGTTATATCTTCTTATTGTTTTATGTGAGAAAATTAAATCAAATTAGACAACGCTTGTCAAAATAGCCTCATCCCTGACTATCATGAAACTTTAGTGCTCTGAAAAACCCATCACATACAAAAGATCACATGATGCTATGTTCAAATATTCCAATCAAACATTTTTCATTTAAACTGTTTGTGATGAAATGACTCAAATAGTGGAAAATTCATAAATGCTTTCCCAAATCACAAACATTTACCAACCGTAAGTTTAGTTCTTTAGCATTCTTGCATTGTTCCATTGATTATAGATGATAATACAGTTCATAAGACAGAACAGAGATAGATGTTGTTGACTAACCTGAAAACCCTCCAGAGTTTGCAGTACCCATCTCTGAGGCCTGATCTCCCAGGGTAGAGGCCGGTGGAGAGTCTCCGTACCCCGGGGTGCAGGGCCGACTGGGGGAGCCTGACTCTGGATCACTGGTGGAGCCCCATCGGTCATCCCTTGCAGTTCTTTCCTTGTCTCCCGCGGACGCCCTGCCTCCGTCCTTCCTGTGGACCCGCTGGTGGACGATCATCTGGTGACGACTGCGGAACACCTTGCCGCACTCAAAGCACTCGTTGGACTTGGAGGAAGCCTGCGACTGGGATGACCGTCGACGGTCATGGCGAGACGATGGCCGGTACTCAGAGTCACTGAGGTTCTCTGGCGTCCGGTCCCCTGAAGAGCCATGACTTCCCAAGCCAGAGCTGCTGCGTCTGCCTGAGCTGCGCTTCTCCTGACCTTGTAGGACATAACGACTGCTCTCCCTCTCAAAGACCACAGCGGCTCCAGCAAGGGCATCCTCCCCCATACTTCCTCCCCCATAGGAGGCCTTGTAATTAGGCTCCACTGGCTCCACAACTCTTCCTTTAGTGGCTAATTGCCAGGCCTGGTAGCTGCAAACTGGATCTAGCTCAAGGATTCTTTGGCCCAGAATCGTCTCACCTTCCCTGCCCTCGTCCGGGGTCTTTTCCTCAACAGGTCGGATGTTTAAATAGTCAAGAAAACGTCTTTTAGCAGCTGGCGAGTCCTCATCATCACTGGCTCTGCATTGGCTCTGGGACTTCCTGCCACAGTTGACACCATGAACCTTTTCATGGACTCTCAGGCTCTCTTTGGTGTGAAACAGGTTCCCACATTTAGAGCACATTTGATAGATTGATGTTACAGAGCCAGAAACAATATCAGGATCCTGGGCTACATCGTTGATGGTGGCCGGTTGCTCAGCTGATTCTGCTTTTGACCGTGACCTAGATTTGGTGTTGTGTGTTTTCATGTGAGATTTGAGAAACCAAGCTTCGCGGAACCGTCGTCCACAAATACGACAGCAGTGGTCCAGGACCCCTGCGTGTTTCTTCATGTGCGACTTCAGAAACCAGGCTTGGCTGAAGATTTGGCCACAGGTCTCACAGGGGAAGGACCCATCACCCTGGGCTTCACCCTTGGAATCAGGTTCAGTCACAGCCTCTTCCTTCACAGTCGTCTCTTCTTCTGCGTCTGCTGTGATGTGAACCTTTTCAATGTGGCTGAGGAGCTGATCTTCTCGCTGGGCCTCATAACCACAGAGACGGCAACAGTAAGGCCGCTGGTCAGTAACAGACTTCTCTCTTTTCATGCTCCTTGCAGGCACTTTCCTCCTACTCTCCTCAACACTATCCCCATTGATCATCCGGTTGCAGGCAGAGCTACTTTTAGTTGGACTCGTACCTCCTTCGAGACCCTCAGAAACACTCATCTCCTCCTCCTCGGCCCCACCTTCTTCATCCTCATTGGTGTGATGGCTGGAGAGTGTGCCTAGTTTATGGCTGCGAATGTGAACTTTGAGGTTCCCTTTCTGAGATGCCCTGTGGTCACAGTAGGGGCATTTGTAAGGTCGTGCACCAGTGTGGCGTCTCATATGCTGCGACAAAGAGCTGAGGAAGGGGAAGCTGCGTCCGCAGACATTACAGTCGAAACTCCCAGGGATTTTGTCGTCCTCACCCTCAATCTCATTCGCAGGATTGGCCTTGTCTCTCACCAGCTTTTCCTTTTGACCTGCAGCCTGGGTCTCCATCACCTCCACACTGTCTCTAGTATTCATGGTACTAATCTGCTTTATCTTTCTGGCCTCTCACAAGTGAAAATAAAACTTGAAAACTCTGCTATCTGCAGTTGAACATCTAGAGGTGTCTAGAGTGCCCTGATTGATCAGTTAAATTGCTATCTACCTCTAGGCATCCAGAAATCCAGCCGCTAACGCAGCAGCTCATTCAGCACTCTCTCCAGTGCCATACCATCAATCCATCTTCATCTAGCACTTTCATTGAACATTTACAAAGATGTTGAACCTATTTTCAGGCTAACAAAGGCCTAGAACAAAATGTAAGCCTGAGATTTTCTTTCTCAGAATTAAGTGAAAGTTCTCTCTCAGTTTCAGGTCATCATTCTGTCAGTAGCAGAAGTTTTGAGAGGTTTTTGAGTCACTGTTCTCCAAACTTCTATTATTCATTTCACTGGTGTCTCTCCTTCATCCTCTTATGAATCAGCAGCTTTCAGGTCATGTAACAGTGAGCTCTCTGTAGTGCAGCCTGCATGTATATCATCCACCTATGAATAAGAACAAAAAGAGAGGTGGTGGGAGACAGCAAGTGGGGAGTAAAGTGAGAAAAGAGACAAATGGAAGATATTAAATTAATCAGTTTCCAGTCACATTCAGTTACATTTGCATACACAGGAGAAGTGGTTGCATTTGCCTGTGTGTATGTGTCATGAAGTAGACCAGCATATGCTTGTCTGTTAATGTATCCGTGAATTAAATGGAGGGCAAACCAAGACTTAATGTTGGTGATCAGGTCCCTTACAGGTTTGAGACTGCAAAGGCTAATCTACAAGCAATTTGTGAAGTGTAAATGTTCTTTTAGACTCAAGCCTAACCAAACACTAAATCTGTCAATTTCATAATTGTACTTATACATTGAATCAGTAGTTATAACAGTTATATTTACCCATTTTGTGGATACATCTTTTTGAATCCCCCGAATGTGGGGTAAACTGTGAGTTCAAATTCACCATGTGAAGGTTTACATATTTCATAGACGTATAGATGTATTAAGTCTACTGTGTCTCTGAGGATTGCACTGCACACACACCACCACTATATGTGTGTGTGTGTTGTGAATGTGTATGAGTAGTGCAGGGCTCTGGGTCTCTGATACCACACTGGCTGAGTTGACACTTTACACAATCAGGGTGGTGGTGAGGGGGGGGGGCATGTTCACATCAGCAAGATCAGCAGTGCCACCGTACTCCCTCCCCATACGGGCCTCATGCACCCGCCTCAACTGACACTATCACATGACAGGGATCTTAAGTACACAACAGGAAGTGGCTCTTCAGACAGTTTGCTTTGTACGGTTTCTCAAACAGGAGTTGAATGGCATTGGGGAGTCAAATGGAAAGAGAAAGAGAAAGGGTGATAAGAGGAGACTCATTTTATATAGGTGGAACGTTTTCATAGTTTGCAGGTTTTCAGCTGTAATTATATACATACATTAAATTGTATTATGCTATACATTTGCCAAAGTTGTCATGTTTCCTCCACATCTGTATTGCGACCTATTTTAATTTCTTGCTACGGATTAACACAATGTTCTCACTAAGAATAACTAGAGGTTAATCACGTCTTTCTTCTTTTCCCTCTGACAGCAGACACATTTTTGAACGTATAACATGAGAAGCAATTTCTAAATTCCTTTCAGATAAAGATCACAACTTTGAAACATGAAAAGAATTTTCTACAGGAAGTTGAAGTATTAATTTCAGCAGATGCTCGAGCCTGAAAGTGTGGACTATATGAAATGTGAGTGACAGCATTATTACAGGCTATTATATAAAGTGCCAGGGCCCATAAGCTGAGTTACTGCCAGGCTCTAATTATAAGTGGATAATTGATCATAATCATAAGAGGATAAGGTGGTGGAGGAGGGAAGTTAGCACCAGAACAATCATATGTCTTAAACTTGCACACTGAAAATGACTACCCTGCACCAGAGCACCTATCTATCTAGAATGATTTATGATATTGAAATGCAGCGCAGCCGTAGTGGTTCACCATGCTTCCTCCGGGAGTGTTTAGTAAGTCCAGGCTTCCAGTGAACAAGTACTGCTCTAGCCAGAGGTGCAGCTGTGGCTGACATTACACTGAAACAAATGTATAATTAGATAGAGACCTGTAAGTTTCTAAATATCCATGTAGATCTTAGAGTAGATAGAAGCTCACTATTTCTGCTTGCTTTTGAAAACCTTTGTTAAAAAAAGTTTGGACCGGTCAGTCCACCATTTTGGTCCAGACTGAATGGATTGCCATTGAAATTTCCATATACACCCATGTTTCTCAGAGAACAAATCCTAATGACCGTGGTGATCTCTCTACTTTTCCTGCCATGCAGGGGCAGAGAACCTCTGCACTGCGTATACAATACTAAGACATTTGAACATTTCAGCAATTCATTGTTTCTGCAATAAATGAAAATAGCATAAAACAATAGACTAAAAGTAGAGGTGTAAAGTCAGACCAAGAGAAATGACAAGAGAAATGGACAAACACATTTTTTTTTTTTGGAATAAAAGACAAGCTAGAGTGTCTGATGTGCTCCCCGTAATGAAAAGGTTTTGAGCAGCATGACAGCTAGAAACGTGTTAAACTAGATGAGTAGCAAGTACAGATGCACTTGGATAAAGGTAAAACTTCTCTGCAGCGTTTGAGTGCTCAACAAGAAGCTTTCTCAGGGGAAGAAATACTGACATGACAAGATACTGAAAAAAAAAATGACTTGCGGACATCACAGGAAATTTCCAGTTGTTCTCTCTAGCCTACAGTGAAACAACAGATATAACCAGTACCAAACCACGAAGTTTTGGTAATGAAATCAACTCCCTCTTTCACAAGAGGGGTGCATTGCTGTCTCAGCCAAGAAGGGTATGTATGGTATAAAGCTGAGGATTTCTTTGGTTTTTGTGGTAAAACTAGCTGAGAGTGGTAATATCGCCGTCATTGCTACCATCTGACATCAGAGACCTCACCAAAGAGAAACTGTCCCTGCCATTGCATTAGACATGTTAGTGTGAAGTGTGTGTTGAATAATTTACTATGGCTTGTGAAGGATGTGATTAAAATGGAAATGGCCCTTGATAGGAAAAAGGTTCCCCACACTTGCCCACAAGTTTCAATAATCATAGCAGTCCTGCACGTTGAGCCACACGCATGTATGCACATCCTTTCCTGGAGGGACTGTCTCATTATTCTAAACCCATGGCACCATACTGACTTACGTTATGAACAGTATTTAAACGTCACACAGCTGATCAAACTTATTTTTCTACCTCAATTACATAAGACGTTCACAAAACTGTAGATATATGAGGCATAAAACCCCAAAGAGAGAATTTTAAAGAGGCGTTTTTATGACTGGTGAGATTATGTAAAGAGCCATAAACTTAATGCACCTCTTGATTTGAGGAACAAGGAAGCATGAGTGAGTCAGCCAACACATGACATGATACTAGAATCAGGTGATGATGGACGTGTAACAACAAAATAAGGAAAACAAAGGGCACCCAGCTCCATTCATCCACCCACTGTAGTTTTGTCCCCCCATCTGTTCCATCTGCTCTCACATCCAGACTTCCCTCATATAGGTTCGTAGCTTCTTTCAGTTCTAGTGCTAAAAACAGAGGATAATGATCTTATTTCCAATAAATGGCTTTGCTGATTGGGGGCCAGGAAGAAAAGGAGGGTGGGGGGTTTTCAGCAGTAAGCCTGTCATCCACCAGACAGTCATGTGCAAATTGAAATGTAATGAGATTAGCCACCAGAAGGGAAACAATGCAGGCTCCTCATCACCAGGCCATAGAGGGGAAAAAAAGACAAATTGGCTTAAGGAGGGAGAAACTGTCCAGAAGAGACAGACGAGATCACCAATCATTAGAGTCATCAAAAAAGAGAAGAGGCATCAAAGCTCTATTAAAGGCCGATAAATGGATATAAAGTCCGTCCTGAAGCTGGCAGAAACAGTCCAGTTTGTAAACCTTGACTGCCTTTGACATCCTCCAGCTAATTAATCTCACATACACTACAAGGATTAATAAATCTGGAGCTGGTGTGTAACTGAAGTTGGAGTTGAATTGGTGTTTTATTTCTGGTGTGTTTTTAAAGTTGCATTCTGATATAAATATTTAACAGTTGCCTTCTTTTCTTGCAGAGATCCATCTCACCCTACTCAGACATGCCATTAATGGACACTTAAGCTGTCCTTCAATGAGTCACTGGGAGTGAGTGGTATATACACTGCTGATAATGATTGAAACACCCCTCCACCCTCTCTCTTCCCTTGAATCATTAGCATTTGCTCTTCCCCTTTCTGAACACTGAGCTGAAGTCCGGCAAGAAGAGGAGGAAATCTGCTCTTGTTTTCCCAAACATGCACAACCTTTGCAGAGAGCTGCTCTATTTCTATAACTGAGACTCCAGAGGTCCACATCTGTAGTGGATGTCGAAAAAAATAGTGTCAAACTGTGCGTGCAGGCCAGCAGAGGACCTGTTCACAGGTTTTCCTGTTCAGTTTACAATCTTTGGCACTGTCATGAAGCTAGACGTCTGACCTTAAATATAAGTTTGATATATGTAATGTAGTACTGCTATCACACAAACACAAATATTATGAAGCAATATACTTGGCCAGCTCTGAATAAATGCTGTTTACAATATTGTAGTGTAATGTATATATTAGATCATAACTGTATATGTCTAATTATGTTTAGATGTGCTGCAATCTGGGTTTAACTCACTTTATTACAGTCTTTATTGCAATCTGCTCAACTGCCCCCTCTAGAGGCTACAGATTCACCTTGCACAAAACATCTGGTGCAAGAATGTGAAAAAAATGTGTTCAGGTAAAAAAAACATAGAGTTCCTGCAGTCTACTTTTTAAAACAGCTGCTGTTTAACAGAGACTCACACAAAGGTTTAGCAGCCTTCTGCGACAGAAACACTGTCATCCAGCCAAGAAGCGCCTTCATCATAGCAACCACCTCAGAGGTAGCCATGACACAAATCTGCCGCACCCAAGGGTGCAGAGATTGGCTTTCATAACACACTGACTCATTCACAGTGTCACCCTATCAGTGATAATCATTGCAGGTCGTCCTCGTGTGGGACATCCGTCAGCCGAGGTGGGATCTGTTTCACTCCCACGGAGCAGCACAGACAAGCATGTGAGAAAAAAATACACAGTGGGGGGAAAAATAAAGAGTGGACCCCCTGTTTAAACACACACACACACATGCTGGGGAACTGAGGAATCATGAAGCAAAACAGAAGGGTCTTTTAATGTTGTCCACACACAGCTTTTGAAAGTCTACACAAGCACACTGTGGGCTTTTAACAGTGTTTCATACAGGCAGCATTGAAAGCTTAACAGCCCATACAGAGAGCTGCACACACACACACACACACACACAGACACACTGCTTCACAGAGCATTTTACACTTCACAAAAAACCTCACTATCCTCTGTACAGTTGCTGATAAAGTGGAGACATTCAGTGCT